CGGAGACCCCCCGAGATGCTGGGCGGGGAAGGGTGTGGGAGGCCGCGGGAGCCCCCCGCAGGTCGATTCCTTCCTTCCTTCCTCCTTCCTCATTGTAGGTTCACCATGAAAATGGACCCTAACATGTTTGAAGCCCTGTGTACGTGTTGTAAAGCTTGCAGTCTGCTGACTGCAAAGCATCCTGCTGTGCTTTCCTGCGGTTTGAAGACGGGTCAGGTGTTTAATCTAAACGCAATCTGGGCAGAAGTCTGCATATTCGCCTGTATTATTCATCTTATATCCGACAATATATGCGCCAACATTTTATTCTACTTAACAGGACCCTACATCCCAGCATACCGCCCCCCACAACACGTGTAAACCCGGCTTCCATGTCATTTTCCATCTTTTTTGTTTTTAGTCCTTGCTCTTCAGCGTACTTGGGACCCTGAACTAGCCCATTGGGGGGAGCTGTATATGCAGAGTCTGGAGTGGATGCAAGAACCCTGCTCTGAACTGGCATGTGGTCTTCTAGAGTGGGATTTCCGGTTAGGGTTTAGGGTGTAAGGTTTCTCGTTCCGCGAAGGAGTGATTTAGGAAGATCACTGCACCTTATTTAACAATCCTATGCTATATCCCCAGACCCCAAACCCAAAGCCCCAAAACCGCGATCCAACTCTTTTTGCTTGAGCATGGGCTGGGTTTCGGGCAGGGCACTAGCCTGAACAACTGTTGCCTTCTTTGCCCAGCCGCGCCTCTGTAGGTGTCTTCGTGTGTCGGCGCGTGTATGCATCTGAGTGCTTACACTCTTACACATACTTCATACACCCTCAAAATTCGTGCGTTTGGTTCAATATACAGCACTCATACACAGTCCTCAGGAAGCTCGTAACTATTGGTCTCAGACTGAGGCAATTTTCCTCAAGGACACCCTCGACGCGGCGCAAAATGACTCGGACGCTTGGCATCGTCCTTCCGCTTGACGACCTCTTGCAGCATGCCCCATAGACTTCTGGCACACTTTGTCATGTAGACTCAAAGGTGGACCGCCGCCCCATGGCATGAACAAATTTTTAGCGAGAGCTACATGCGGGCAAGGTACAAGTAAGTTCAAGGCTTCAGGGAATTGGTAGTCAAGCATGCCGTGGCTCTTTTTCCGTGACGTGATACCATGGCACCGCATAAGCCCGAGTAATTCGCAATGGTATATCCCATTGCAATCCTGACCAGGTGAGAGTATAGTAAACCCCAGGCCCAAAACCCCATTCTAGGCTCCGTACATTAACTTTTGGGCCCTCAGCGTGAACATTGTCCGGACGACAAGCTAATCGGTGCTTGAAGTTCAGGAGAACCTGGTCGTGGAGAGACTACGCAAAAAAGCAGAGTATGTTGAAAAGCTGGAGGCGACACCTGCACTGCTTCCTGAATCACCAAGTAACCAGATGTGTGTCTATGCTTGTCGGGAGTTTAGTATTTTTGGGCAAGGGAGTAATTTTGCGTCCTGGTCCCGTAGTCCTGCCATGAACAAAAGGTACTCCCAAAATTAGGGGTACCTTTATTGGGGTCCCAGTTAAAAGGATTATAGTATGTTGGGGTCTATATTGGGGCTCCCCCTATTTTGGGAAACTACCACATAATTCCACAGTGCTTATCAGAAAAGCCATGCGAGTAAGCAGCTTAGTGTGGC